CTTCCGATCTTATATATTATAAAATTATGTGTAAATTACTAAATTGTAATCATTTTTTTTGGTAGATAAATTGTAATCATTTGATTATATAATTTATTGTTATTTAACTTTTATATAAAATTTACACCCAAATATATAGTTATAAATTTTAGTTTTTCTTGATTTGCATACTTAATACAAGAATTTGAAATCGCATATTAAACTAAAGTAATCCTAAATCAGTCAATGTACGATGTTCGGTGGTTTGAGATGTAAAAATCATTGAAATGATCGAGCATCATTTTTCTTGATAAAATATTTTTCGTACAAATGAAAACTTTTTACTGAAAATTACAAATAAATATCATATATTATTAAGATTTAATAGTTAGATGAATAAAATTCATATTTTATATAAAACTACTTAACAATTTTAAAAATAACGACATATCCAAAGGATGCAGCCAGACCCAATGCAGTAGCTAGCAAACCTTTTAAGAGAAAGATTACTATCAAAGAAAATGAATATTGTAAGCCGAATGTTGCCTCCTTTGTTTGGTTTGATATTGATAAATGATAAAGATAAATTATATTTTGAAGTTGATAAACTCTATATTTAAAATGTTGAATTTTATAACATCATATACTTATATTTTATATTTTAAAAGATATTTTTTTTTTGGAATGTAGAGTTTCTATAAAGTCGAATTTAACTTGTTTTTCTTATTATCTAAAAATTAGGATGATGATTGTATTTAAAAGTATGATTAAATAAATTTTTAGTCTCTCAATTTTTTTAAAATTTAATTTTTAGTTTCTTTTAATTTTTTTTGTCAACTTTTAGTCTTTTATTAAATTTTTTTATCATATAAATTAGTCTTCAAAAAAAGTTTTCTCTATTAATTATTAATATATGCTAATAAATAATAATTATTGATATTCACATAACTATTTAATAGATGTCAAATCATATAATATATATATATATATATATATATATATATATATATATATTTTATATTTTGTTCATGACCAAACATTACTTTTTTAAAAATAAAAGACATTATTAAAACAAATATTCACCTATGTAACCATAAAAGAATAGTAAAATTATACCTGTGATATATTTAACATCTATTAAACATGTGATAATCAATAATTGAATCAATTATAATTTATTAACACATATTAACATTTGACAAATAATATTAAGTTTTAAAGACTAATTTATGTGATAGAAAAATTAATAGAGAATTATAAAGTGAAAAAAAAAACTAAAAATTGAATTATTAAAAGTTGAGAGACTTAAAAAGCTATTAACCCTTGAAAATATATGGTGTGAGTGCACCATGTGTAAGCTTAGACAACGCCTTATACGAGACACTTATCTTCTCCCATGGTTGGGACGGTAAGATAAGAATGCATATAAGACAACTCTCGAGGACTTCGAAAAATTATTGCTAGTAATTTCCACACTATTTTCTCTAATTTGTCTTTTTATCCTTTTTCTCAACTTCCTTTTCATGGCGAAGAGAACAAAATTGAAACTTAAAGACTCTGAACTACTTAAACTCCTACTAGCTACCAGAACAATTTTAGTGGGTTAACTCCATTTTTATTTTCTTATAATAACTTCTTTTTTAGATTTTTTTTAAACAAAAGATATCTTCTAGTTAAGAGCGAGAGGTTTATTTCTTCTAGACGAGGAAATTAATTTATATGGATTTATTAATTCATTTAAGAAACAAAAACAAATATTTTAGAAGACGGGTACTTAATATTTTTAAAAAATTGAAAACCATTTAATTTTTAAGTAAATAATACACTCTCTCTTATCCTTTAATAAGATCCAAATTTAGAGAGTTGTTTATTTATTTAATATAAGAATCAATTTAAGTGTCTTTTGCAATAAATTTTTTTTTATGAGAAACACGCTTGATTAAAGTCATTTCTCTTATATTAATTAATAGTTGTTAAAATAAGAATCTCATTCATGTTCAGTATAATTTTGAAGAAAATAAGTTTAGGATAATTTTAATAGTATCAAATATATTAATCAATTTTCTTAATTATAGTGAATTGGGAAATTGAATCTTATAAAAAAAATGATAGAGAATGATAAATACATTAATTAAGAGAGGGTATATATGATAATGACCTTCTCATATGAGAATAAAAATAGTTAATTTTAATTCATAAATTAAAATAACTAACTTAAATTAAAAAATATTACTTAAAATTACAAAAACAAAGTTACAACATTTATAGTAATAATGTCAATAATAATAATGATAAGAACAAAAATAATAATAATAATGAATTAATAATTATAATTGTATTGACAATACAAATTAAAATAACAGTAATAATAATTATAATGATAATAACGATGATAATAAAAATAATTATAATTATGTTATAATTTAAAATAATTTTTTAAATTTAAATTATTTATTTTAATTTAAAAGTTAAAATTGATCACTCTCATTTTCATATTAAAAACGTCATGGAATAATAAATACATTTTTATTGATTTTTGAAATGTATATTGTGTAAAAGAATTAAGTGTTTCCATACTTTCAAGAAAAAAATTCTTATTAAATATTGTTTTTATTTTTCTTATAAATTTCGTTTTCTTCACCAACACTGATTTTATATTAACCTTTTAAATTATTAGAATATTCAATATTTGCCGATGCTTCCATAGTCCTCTGTCACCCTATCTATTCTCTGCTATAAATTCACCTCTCTTGACTTCTACCTCACTCCCTAATTTCACTTAGTTCTATTTATTTTGTTCCACACAAATTTGTCTTTAGTCCATTCTCCTTTTTGTTGATGAGTTTGTGTGTTGGAGAGAGAAAGAGAGGAAGCATAGTTAAGCTTGACAACATTAGAAGAAGAAGACAAGAAGATGGAAGGAGGAGTAGCACAAGTTGATGCCTCAGCTTTCAAAGAATGCCTGTCTCTGTCTTGGAAAAATCCTTATGTTCTGCGCCTTGCTTTTTCGGCTGGAATTGGTGGCCTTCTCTTTGGCTATGACACTGGTAAATTTCACAACCTCTATCACCTTCAAACTCAACTCTCTGTTTTCCCCTGCTTTCAAAACACTCTGTTTTCCTCTGTTTTGATGGAAATGTGTAGGAGTCATATCTGGGGCTCTTTTGTATATCAGAGATGATTTCAAAGCTGTGGATAGGAAGACTTGGCTTCAGGTAGTTTTCATCTCCAAGGCTATGTCTTACACTACAACCCTTGTAAATTTTTTTATTTATTTTTTTTCACTACAAACTTAACACTAATGCTCCTTACTTTGGCTAAGGATCACATCATTCAACGACAACCTGCATATAAAAATTAGGGTCGATTCCAAAACAGAAATAATTGTTTTTTAAATGATTATTTACGCATCTTGGCGCTAACGATGTTTCCAATGAAATAAAAAAATAATTGTGTTTGAATATTGTGTTCAGGTTTCACCTAATGATCAAATATAATTAATAATAATAAGATAACACGGGTTTTTTTTTTGTTGTTTTTTTGTTATCATGCATTCAGTAACAAAATTAACACTTGATATTCCTAGAAATTATTGAAACTAAAAACCTTTTTTAATTTAAAAAATGTTTGCATTCTTTATTTGATATTTTTAATTTTTAAAAAAATATTTATACATCTATGTATACATATTGTAAAGAAGATATGAGATGGTATAACTATTTTTTGTTTTCACTTTTAATAGACTATTATATTCTTAAGAAAAATAAACCTCTCATATTTTTTGAATATTAGTTGCAATTATCAAAATGGCATTGTGTCATTTTACTAATCTTCCTATGTATTATATTATATGAATAAAAAAAATACTATAAGGAGATATATTGAAAATTGAGTGTGATAATGCAGGAAGCTATAGTAAGTATGGCCCTTGCTGGAGCAATCATAGGGGCTGCAGTGGGTGGGTGGATTAACGATCGATTTGGAAGGAAAAAGGCTATTGTTCTTGCAGACACACTCTTCTTCATTGGGTCTGCTGTCATGGCTGCAGCTACCAATCCATCTATTCTCATTGTTGGTCGAGTTTTTGTTGGACTTGGTGTTGGAATGGCCTCAATGGCATCCCCATTATACATCTCAGAAGCTTCTCCAACCAGAGTTCGAGGAGCTTTAGTTAGTCTCAATGGCTTTCTCATTACTGGAGGACAATTTCTTTCCTACCTCATCAACTTGGCCTTCACAAAAGTAAGCATCAAACTCCATGATTAAGTATATTAATAATAGATCTTAATATTATGAATTTTTTTTTTATTGCTGATCTTATTATGAATATTAAAACACAAGTCATATGAGTTTTTTTTAAGTATTCAATAATATTTTAAGTAATCAGCTGATATTAAATCTTGATCATTAATGATTTGATATATGGGTCAAATTTAGTCATTTTATTTGAGATTGACTCAAACATGAGGTTAATAAGAGTAAAAATCCTCTCCATTTCTTTCATTACTAAAGTTTTAAAAGCATAAATATCATATTTCCTAAAGTATGCATCAACTTCATCAACTATATTTAAATTTTTTTTTTTTAAGTTTAGAAAATAAAAGAAATGGAAGGAAAATGAAATGGAGAGGATCCATTTTCGGTCAATAAGACAATTGCTTTAGTCTCTCTTCAAAAAAACAATTATCTTACATTAATATTTATATAATTTTTTTCAAGGTTCATAACTCAAAAATCAATTTTTATATTCTTAAAAGTTCACTTAAAAAAGTTTATCTATAAAAGATATACAAATATAATTATCTTTTTAAGGTTCATTGTTTAAACATTTTTATTTTCTTATCAAAAGATATTATTATTATTTTTTAAAAAAATTACTTTAAGATTTTATTTAAGCAAGCCTAACAATGTGTTGTTGGTTTGGTCTTGACCTCACTTTTGTATAAAAAAATACTCTTCTTACTAGATAAATCTTCTGTGTGTGAGAGAGAGAAGGATTGGAATACAACCATATATGAATGATCATGATTAAAAAAAAAATTAACCATTAATGATAAAAACTAATGATTGATACTTCTCTCACTCGTGTAAAACAAGTTATTAAATTTGATATTTTCAATGAATCTTTTGGTCATTATTTTTATGAGCTATATTTTTTTAAGAGAAAGTTTTATATATCGTTATATTTTGGATATTTTTACATACATATTTGTATTAATATAATATTGTCTATATTGAAATTAAACATTTTTATTTTATTTTTGTTCATTATCCAAAAAGATCTTATTCTAATAGTTTGTGTATGTTGAAAAATCTTTGTTTATCTCCTTATTTTAATGATATGAGACCATGCATATATTCCAACAATTTCTTCAATGTATATATGCATGATATGATTCATTCTTATTCTTCGAGACGATAAAACATATCTCAACTTTTAAATACATTATGGTATAGAAATTATTGATGATCAAAATTAGTGTTATATGTGTATATACCTTAATTGTTTGATGATCATTTGTTCAGGCACCAGGAACATGGAGATGGATGCTAGGAGTAGCAGCAGTACCAGCTTTGATACAAATCATATTAATGAGTATGCTGCCAGAATCACCGCGTTGGCTATTCCGGAAGGTACAATCAATCACCTATTACATTTCATAATTGCATGTAGTTAATACTTTTCATAAAATAGTTATCATTTTTGCCTTTTCTTATTGGCTTTCTATTGAATAAAAGGGAAGAGAAGAAGAGGGTAAGGCAATTTTAAGGAATATTTATCCACCTCATGAAGTTGAAGCAGAGATTAATACACTGAGGGAATCAGTTGAAATGGAAATCAAGGAAGCAGAGGGCACAGATAAAATCAGCATAGTGAAAATGTTGAAAACAAAAACTGTGAGAAGAGGTTTGTATGCAGGAATGGGCCTTCAAATTTTTCAGCAGTTTGTGGGAATCAATACTGTAATGTACTACAGCCCTACCATAGTTCAACTAGCTGGTTTTGCATCCAACAGAACAGCACTTCTTCTGTCACTTGTCACATCTGGACTCAATGCATTTGGTTCTATTTTGAGCATATACTTCATAGACAGAACAGGAAGGAAAAAGCTTGTGTTGTTCAGTTTGTTTGGTGTTGTGTTCTCCCTCGTTGTTTTAACCGTTGTGTTCCATCAGAGTACAACTCACTCCCCAATGGTTAGCCCAATTGAAACCTCTTACTTCAGCAACACTTGCCCTGATTACCATACATCTGTGAACCCCGGTGCATGGGATTGCATGAAGTGTCTCAAGGCTTCTCCAGAGTGTGGCTTTTGTGCTTTCGGAGCCAATAAGGTAAACATAAACATGCCCTCTTATTATATGAATTTGTTTAGGAAAAAACTTAAATGGAATATCACAAGTACAGTTGTTTTTCCATTAAAATTGAAGTTTGACCTTGATAATATATATTGAAATTTAATGAAATCATTTATTACACATTATTGAAATGGAACTTTGTTTTTTATTAGACAATGGTACCAACATTCATAATATTGTAAGCTTTATCCATCAATTATTGAGAAAAAAGACTATACACGGATATTATGATCAATCATTTATGATTATTTGATGACTTTCACAATAATTACCAACTACCTTGAAAGTTATACTAATAATAATTTTTGATTGATCGACAATGTAAAAACTTTACACTGATAAACTAATTATCCCATGAAATTATTATAATCTTTATTATTGAGTTGTAACACTTTATACCAATTGTGAGCAGCTTCTACCTGGGGCATGTTTGATCTCCAACGACACCACAAAGGATCAATGCCAAAATGAAGATAGGCTATGGTACACTAGGGGGTGTCCTAGTAAATTTGGATGGCTTGCAATAGTAGGTCTTGCACTCTACATTATATTCTTCTCACCTGGGATGGGAACTGTGCCATGGGTTGTCAACTCTGAGATTTATCCTTTAAGGTATCGAGGAATATGTGGAGGAATGGCATCTACATCGAATTGGATCTCAAACCTTATTGTCGCTCAGTCTTTTCTATCATTGACACAAGCTATTGGGACGTCATGGACATTCATGATATTTATATTCATCACCGTTGCAGCCATTATCTTTGTTATTATTTTCGTGCCAGAAACTAAGGGACTTCCTATGGAAGAGGTGGAGAAGATGTTGGAAAGAAATTCTCTCAACTTCAAGTTTTGGCAGAGAAGCTCTCACAATGGAGAAGAAGTACCAACACAGAAGACTGAGTCAATTTAAGTTTATTGTGTTGTACCATTTTAATGTTGGAGTGTAATTAACTAAGTATATATGTAACTGTAAGTCCATGTTAGATTGGAGTGTAATTAACTAGTTTGTGTGAATGTTACAAGTTAGTATTTGTGATTGTTTTTGAAGGTGTAAAGGATTTTCTTTTTGAAAGAGCAGATGAAAATTTGTTAAGGAAAACCATCGGGTATTGGTATTAAAAATAGGTATATGAGACTTTTACTTTCTTTAAGTTAAAAGACTAAAAATATTTTTTAATATGTCAAATATGATTCTCATCCCTTAAATTATTCATGTTTTTTTCTCGAGATAAAATAGTAACGATTTACACTAAAATCACAGTAGATAATATTTTTTTAAGTTTAATGAGCTTAACAATGTAATAAACATAATATCAAAAGACTCAAAACATAAGAATTACCTAATGTAAACATATAAATAATTTATTAAAAATATTAATGATTAAATCTATCATTTTTATTAAGTTACTTTCGTAAAACACTAAATGTTAAGAAATAATAATTAAATATTGCATTACTTGATTAAATATTTTAAACAAATAAATTTATAGAAGAGGAAATTAAATCAATTATAAAACGTGTTTTTTTTATTTATAATTTTACCTTTCAAAACATTTTAATCTTAAAAATTCTTCAATCCAGAAACATGATAATATATTTTCTTTCAAAAACTAAATTGTATAAATTAAACTAAAAAGTGGGTCCTATAAAGAGAGTAAATATGGATTAAAAAAATATATATGTGAAGTTAATTTTAAATGTCCTTAAAATTTAAAGAAATGACATGTGTCAAATTAAAGTGGGTACAATAATTTGTAAGAAGATATCCGTAGATAGTCAAAAGAGACAAAATCTCTAACTAGTTCTTTTTGTCAAATGAAACAAGATTTGGGCTAACCTAACTGCATCTTTAATTGGGCTCAATTTTTTGGATCTGCTTTCCTCGTGGGATGCCAACAATATCCATTATTTCTAAAGTTGTTGACCCAAAAATAAATAAAACATTTGTATCCCAATTCCCAACCAAACATAAGGAGGATTGACAAAATTATGGTTTTCTCATGTTTATCAAAAGATACTAAAATGATTGGCGCACATTGATTATGTAACTAGAATCTTTATTTATGTTTCATCCACAATACTAAAAAATAAAGTAAATGGAAGATTAATAAAGCACTATGATCGTTTAATTAGTAATGGAGAAAAATGTATATAATAGGAAATTAGGAATAAGCATATCGAAAGACAATGAGGCTTTAATTATAATGATTCTACTCTAGTTAGTCCTCTACCACATTTCATGCTGCTTTGAATAAGTCTATAAAAATAGAGGTTTATATTCATTCGTCTATTCTCTATTATTCTCTTTTATAACTTAATGATGTTTTAAATCAACTTATAAATTTGTCACTTTGTCAGTTTAAGGAACGAATAATTAAGTTTGGTATTATTATGTGATCCACTCGTCTGATGCTGAATTATCCATGTTACCTCTATAATATGACCCTAGTATCATGCAAAAACAAACATAAAATAATCAAGTTATTTTACACCTAAATAATCAATTTAAAAAGTATTATTCATCTCTTCAAAAAAAAAGTATATTCTCTCAAACGAATCATTTTTGGCCATCGAAAAAAAAAAGAAAAAAAAAAACAAAAGAATCATTTCTGAAATCGAACTTTGGCTCCAATTCAAAACACAACATACTTATTTTTTACCCTATATTGACCCAAGGGAACGCTTTACGAAAATGAACTATTTAGGATACTGATTCATCTATAGAAAATTCAAACTTCAATAGTTTGAGCAATCATCCAAATAATTAGTTAAAAAGTTATATGAAAGACTCTTCCATTATACAATCCGTTCAAAATAAGATACACTGGTATTTTAGCTTATACAATATAATATTATATATAATATAATTAAAAATTATAATAATTATATATAATAGTATATTTAAATATATAAGTTATATTTAAATTAAGTATATATGAATATTTTTAAATGTGTAAATTATATTTTAGATTTATAATAAATAACTTGTATTATAAAAAATAAATTTTAATTTACTGATAATTTATTTTAAAATATTAATATTTAATTAATAAATAATTATGATAAATAAAAATCGAATCAGATATAAAATTTTAAAAAAAAATTCTATAAATCATCTCGTTGAAGAAAAATGTATAAAAATACTTTTGTGTAAAATGGATGTTTGTATTTAATATATAAGAATTCATTATAAATTGTTGATGTATTCATGTAAAAAAGGATAAAAAAAAATTAATTTCATTTAAGTTATTGAGTTTAAGTTATATAAATATTAAAAATAGGTGTCAGAGACTTTTAATTTCTTTAATTAGTTTTATTATTTTATGTCTAATTAATTAAGATTTAAAATAGTAGATAAAACATAAGGTCTAAGGAAAAAAGAAACACTATTTGGAGGGGATAAAATACGTTTTGAATGCTATCTTATATATAGCATGGAAAATTAGAAAAAGACAATAATTCGAGGCCATGCCTCATTCTCCCCTAGCTATAAACTTTGAGAGGGAAATGAGAAAGAAAAAGATATATATATATTTTGACATATTTCACTTATTATATCCGTGAAACATCAATTATATAATTTTGACTTTTTAACTTTTCTTCTTCATTTTTTTTTTTTTATATATAATAATTTCTTCTTCATCCTTTTCACAATCTACTCAGACAACTCGTCAGAATTTGAATTTTTTTTCGACACCAAAAATTATAATTTATTTGAAACTAATGATATAAATTATTATATTTAGGAAATACTTTTTAATTTTAATAAATGACTACAAAAAAAAGGGATGACATTATGTGAAATATATCAATTATTTTCATCTATTCATATTTCCCCTTTTTAATAAATATAACAATGTTAAACTAGGATTCAACACCAAAAAAAACTAGGATTAAATTATTTAATTTTTTTTTAAAGAATTACCTAACTATTTATAGAACGTTGTAATATTTTCATCGTGTAGCCTCACACCCCTCTTGCCCTTTCACAAAAAGTACTATCTGTTGTATTTTATTATGTATTATTACAAGTTGATATA